ACATGAAGAATTATTCACTCTGTAGGCTACAACACACTATGACATATGAAATTCAAAAGCAGGAAAAAATAAACATTTGTTACTTTTAATTTTGGTTTTATTTACTCTTGAAACAGAGCACTTTGGGGGACCCTGCAGAAGTACATCTAGTATTCTAAAACTTTATGATTGCATCTGAAAATGTTCAATATTTTTATCGGTGATGTACTACTTAAAACCTTGGACAGTACTAATTCATTTGTTTAATTATTTTCACAAACAATTTTTTATACCATCCACAAAACATTTAACTTACCGTTTAGACCTTGTATTTTTCTTTGTACCTACATTACAGTCTGTTACTGTGACAAGAGTAAGTCCATGTTTATTATAATACCAGATGCTGCATAGTTACAAGTACAATTAAATTATATTGTTGCAGATAACTCTACATGTTAAAACTGATGAATACAAGTCATGTTATTACAGATAATATCACATGCAAAATCATACTTCTTTGTCTGTGTGGGGTATACGTGTGTTAAAACTGATGAATACAAGTCATGTTATTACAGATAATACCACATGCAAAATCATACTTCTTTGTCTGTGTGGGGTATATGTGTGTTAAAACTGATGAATACAAGTCATGTTATTACAGATAATACCACATGCAAAATCATACTTCTTTGTCTGTGTAGGGTATATGTGTGTTAAAACTGTCCATCAAAGAGCTATTGCTATTTCCTCACAGCTCCACAATATGGTAGTCACTTGTAAAAAAAAAAAAATAATCCTAAAGGAAGTGATTTTTGAAGTTTTGACAATAATGGTATTGTAACTCACTAATGTAGACGTGGTAAAATCCTTTCTAGGTAGATTGGATGATGTCTGTGAAGAAGCATCAACTGGCTGAGTCAAAGGTTTACTGGTTACTGTTTGGCCCTGAGACGTCAGCACTGATAACTGAGATAATTTATTCTGAAGACAAGTCATATCTGGAACGTGTGGGTGCTGATGAGCTTGGTGGTGAGTACTAGCGCTGCTACTGCTACTACTGCTATGAAGACAAACGAATTCTTACCATAACTGTTTAGATCATAGGATATTCTTCTATTTAAAGTACTATAAGAAATACACGTATTTAGTAACTGTTATCAGACTCTTAGGGTAAGTTTCACAGCAAGTATTAAATATGTATATTTGTTTAGTTGACACGTTTATATTTTTAGAAGGTACCATTAAATTTTAACCAGATAGCTTCAGGTGATGCTTTAGTACTATCACATTAATGACAGTATGCACACATTACCAGAAGAAAGTAATACATATTTTTACAAATAAATAGTTATAATGTTCTAATATCATAATCTCGTCAGCTTCCACATTTGTATACACTACCAAAACTTCTTCGATGTTTACTATACTAACATTATGCAGTTACATTTGTTCAATATATCTTTTGCTGAAATTCATCAGAAATGAACTTTAATAAGTGATGTACTAATTCTGGTTACCACCTAAAACCTTGGACAGTAATATTTTCATGAACACAATTATACAAGTTATCATAACATGGAATATATAAGGCATAGTAGCTACACAAAATCCACTCCTTATTCAAGGCAATATTTTAAACCAGCAGCAGCAGTGTGCACCACAGATGCTATCATGTCCTTTTAGGTCTCACTAATGTTTTTCAGACGAGTTCAGACATGTACAATTCTCAGATAGTGCATGAGCCTAGGTTTGATAAGTATTTTCTCAGGAACTTTTGGTTAACCACCCAATAGCCACGACAAAATATGACAGTATTTCTGGTTTGGAGTGTCAGTAGGGTAGCTAGATGAACAATATTTCTGATTTGGGGTGTCAGTAAGGTAAGTAGATTAACAGTATTTCTGGTTTGGGGTGTCAGTAGGGTAACTAGTTGAACAATATTTCTGGTTTGGTGTGTCAGTAGGTTAGCTAGATTAACAATATTTCTGGTTTGGGGTGTTAGTAGGGTAACTAGATGAACAATATTACTGGTTTGGTGTGTCAGTAGGTTAGCTAGATTAACAATATTTCTGGTTTGGGGTGTCAGTAGGGTAACTACATGAACAATATTTCTGGTTTGGTGTGTCAGTAGGTTAGCTAGATTAACAATATTTCTGGTTTGGGGTGTTAGTAGGGTAACTAGATGAACAGTATTTCTGGTTTGGGGTGTCAGTAGGTAGCTAGATGAACAGCTAGTGGTTTACAAGTGGTCTTGGTTAATTATGATGTTTATTATTTTTACACCAATTATATTCTCTTTCAGTTAAGTAATGCATAAACAGTAAATGTGTTCATGATAACATATATATTCTCTCAGTCACCATGGCTACAAATACTTTCCTGCTTGTGTGTGTGTGTATGTGGGAGGAATACTATGCTGTTTGTTATATTTTATTTATGTACCTTCCACAAAACTTAGTTTAAAATTTAATAGTCATATGCCTGATATTAATACTGTGCAGTTAACATCAAAAGAGAGATCAAATTTATTTGTTTCAATTTCTTGACTTTTTTTTACCTCTGTTCTGGATGTCCAACCTTGCATAGCCCTTCTGTTATGCTGAGACATGAAGAGGACAGGCTGCTACCAACAGCACTGTCCATGCTGGCTAGATTATTAACAGACGTACCATTATACATATGAGATTTGGTTGATACTTGACGGCTGCCAACTTCTCCCTAAGTAGTAAGTACAATACTTCATTATAACTTCACAAAAACAAAGGTATGTTTTAAACTCCGATAAAATAGTTATGTAGTGCTTTATAATCTTTATTGCTTTGCTGTTTAATTTTTCATTGAAAACTTGATGTATTACAAGTTTTGCAAACATATTTCCTATTTAAACAGCCCACCAATAAGTAAAAAAACACCATGGAGAATACAAATCAATCACCTTCATAACTTCGTATACAACTAAACCTAACTTTATAAGGCCCACAAAATACAAACAACCATGCTTCAAAATAAAAGATACTGGGAATTAACCACTTTCATGAGATTGCTTAGTTGGATGATGGGATAGTGTGCCCCAAAATCATCAGAAGTTATCTTCATAACATGATATATATTAGGTATAGCAGCTAAACAAGAGCCACTCCTCATTCAAGACAGTATTGTACACCAATAGTGGAGGGCATTACAGATGCTATCAAATCCTTTTAGAACCAAGTAATTTTTTAAGATGAGTTCAGACTTGCACAATTCTCAGACAACACATGTACCTAGGTTTGACAACTACCTTCCGGGAACTTTTGATGACCCTACCGATAACCATGACAGTATTCCTGGTTTGGAGCATCAGAAGGGTAACTAGATGATCACAGCTAGTGGGCTTGCAAATGGATAACCACTGGTTCTTCAAATATCACAACTTTCAGTCTAGACCTTCTAGCTGTCTACACTAGCTTAAAAAATAAGGCAGTGTTTTCACGAAGCTACTAGACCTTCTACCTGTCTACACTAGCTTAACAAAAAAGGCAGTGTTTTCATGAAGCTACTAGACCTTCTACCTGTCTACACTAGCTTAACAAATAATGCAGTGTTTTCATGAAGCTAGGGTTTATGCTCTTTCAGCCTGAGTCACAAAATGATAGCTTGAAGGTTAGGGCCTTACCACTTTCCCATGCCCAGGCCAACTATTGATATAAACCATATCATGCATTTGTGGTCCATCCTTGATTTTTCCCTATGCAAGTGTCCTCACAACCAACTTCTATGGATACCATCATTTAGGTTCTTCATCACAAGTGCTATCCCACAAGCCCAGATCTCAGATTCTTTAAATATGAACATGTGTACCCATGTTTCTGTATTGTAAGGGGCAATTCTACTAAATATATGTACCTTTTGTTTCGAGTTTTTCATGTTGATTTATTTATCTAAATGGCAATTCTTTCTGGAGTGGATGTCTATTTAGTTACTGGTAGGCTGTGCATTCAAAAACATAGAAAATCTTGCTGTTTGCAAAATTTACTCACAGGAGCTTTTTGATCTGACAAACATGAAGAAACTTGGACAGCTCCAATAGAAGAAAGGTTAGTACTCTTTACATCAGACATAAAAGCTTTTTGTTCAGGTGTGTTAACAGCTTCATTAGGAGTTATAAACACTGGCTGTGAAGAGTTCTCTATGGCTGTTGCTGGGAGCTGACAACATGCTGCAGGCTGGAGAAAAGAGGATGAAGCACTGTCAGAGAGTAGTGCTGGAGGAGTCATGGGCTGATATGTAGAAATTGAGAGAGAGGTGTTTTCAACTCCAGGCACAAGAACACTCGGTGAAAGCTGTCCTCGTTGAAACAACAGGTTCTGACACTGATCTTGATTGTGTTGATATAATTCTCCTGTCATTGGACTTGGAGATAATGGATGAAAGTAAGGTAAAGAATGGGGGGAACCAGCAGTAGATGGAGAGGAGAACGTATCTTCCTTCATCACCTGGGCCATGTTAGCTGAAGGATAACAACTTCCAGGTGTTGGAGCTGATGCAACCACTGAGGTTGGCATAGTGTACTGGTGTTGCTCTTTTACTGGATTAACAAGAAACTGTGAACCCACGTGAGCAGCATGCTGAAGAAGAAAACAATTACTGGTATAAACAAAACAACTATACACAAAACAACACTTTTGCATTTAGAAAATAATATACACGGCTTTGTTACAAATAATACAATTTAACAAAATAAAACTTATTTCACATAATTCTCTATTTATAGCATCTCTCTCTCTCTCCCTCTTTAAACATTTATCGAATTACAGCTTAATTACACTGCCTTTCATACTTAACAAACCTCCCTTTAGAAATAACTCTAATTTCCAGAAAATTTAAAGAAATAAGAATATACTTTACATGTAGAAGAAAATGACAAATTTAAACAGATGTGGTATAAAAAGAGTTAAAATATGATATATGTAAGTATAGATGAAACGTTTAAAATTACATTGAGTAAGGAGATATATGAATGATGTTCATGTGTAGTTAAGTGAGAAGTTTACATAGATATTGAACAGGTAAATGGATACTATACACATGGGGATGAGTGAAAAGTTTAGAAAGACATTGATTAAGGGGGTACATGAATGATGTTCATGTGTAGTTTAGTGAAGTGTAAACACATTGAACAGGTAAATGGATACTATACACATGGGCATGAGTGAAAAGTTTAGAAAGACATTGATTAAGGGGGTACATGAATGATGTTCATGTGTAGTTTAGTGAAGTGTAAACACATTGAACAGGTAAATGGATACTATACACATGAGGATGAGTGAAAAGTTAGAAAGACGTTGATTAAAGGGGTACGTGAATGATGTTCATGTGTAGTTTAGTGAAGTGTAAACACATTGAACAGGTAATTGGATACAAAACACATGAGGATGGGTGAGAAGGTTGAACAATATGAAAGGCAATGCAATATAATTCCAAGTCAAAATTATAGGATCAAAAACAGTACGACTACCAGCTTCTCAATGTTAGCCAGCATAATACTGAAAGAAAGAAAATCAGTTATCCAACGAATGCAACTAAGAGAAGAAATCACAGAGTGAAAAAGGGAAGAATACACCAAACAAAGAATCAATAAGAAAAGAGTGAGCAAGAAGACAAAAAAACAGAGAGGAAAAACTGACCTGGACAAGGTATCCAGGAATTGGCATAGATGAAATATCACAACAACACACAAGATGAGTTAGAGCATAAAGTTTTTTCTTCCATCGTCCTGTACGTTTCTTGCTTCTGCTTCCACGATCCTAACAAGGTTATATTTATACTAAGACTAACCTGGCTCAGAAAATGAAGAACTACTGTAAGCAGTTAAAATAAAAATCTGGAAAGTTTGAGATGAGATGCATTTTATTCTACTTAAACAAGAGAAACATAAAAAAGATTACGACCAACACTGGCCATTTCATTAAAACAATTTTATCTAATTCAATAGTCTTAAAATAAATTCTGACAGCCATGACTAAAATTAAGCATGTTATCAGATATTTCGTACAATACACCATAAGTCAAAGTAATTTTGGAAAATTTGCTAGAAGCATACTCCATTTAACTTCAAATACAGCTTTAAGAAAAAATTTCATTCCTGATTTATGGCTCAAAAAATACTATAGAAAAGACAGAAACTTCATACAAGAGTGTACACTGTTGTTTTTAAGAATAACAAATAACATTAAACCACATTTTATCATTATTATTGGCAAAGTCCAAAAAACTTGTAAAGATATAAATGTTACTTAAGAACAATTATTATCATTATACATCAGTCAGTGCTAGAATGAACATCAGAGATACACTGAAGGATGTAGTACTTGTACATTTCTTAAATATATTCGGCTGGGTCAACAGTACTAGGAACTGGGCATCTCGTCTACAAATAAAAAACTGTTAATTGTGAACAGATACCTCACAAAGCATGAGAAAATGGACTTTTAGAAAGTGTGAAACATAACATGAAATTATGATTAACTGATCTGTGATAATACCATCAAGTAAGCTTGCGAAAATCCTTTGGAAGGAATGTATTTGGATCTGTAGAAGCTAATTCATTGCAATATAAATATGTAGAAGCTACTTTACTGACATACAATTCTGTAAAAATGAGTTTATTACCATACAGTTCTATAGGAGTTAGTATGCAGCCATATAGACCTGTAGAAGCTACTTTACCACCATACCATTCTGCAGAAGCTACTTTACCACCATACCATTCTATAGAAGCTACTTTACCACCATACCATTCTGTAGAAGCTACTTTACCACCATACTATTCTGTAGAAGCTACTTTACCACCATACTATTCTGTAGAAGCTACTTTACCACCATACCATTCTGTAAAAGCTACCTTACCACCATACCATTCTGTAGAAGCTACTTTACCACCATACCATTCTGTAGAAGCTACTTTACCACCATACCATTCTGTAGAAGCTACTTTACCACCATACCATTCTGTAGAAGCTACTTTACCACCATACCATTCTGTAGAAGCTACTTTACCACCATACCATTTCGTAGAAGCTACTTTACCACCATACAATTTTGTAGAAGCTACTTTACCACCATACCATTCTGTAGAAGCTACTTTACCACCATACCATTCTGCAGAAGCTACTGCACCACCATACCATTCTGTAAAAGCTACTTTACCACCATACCATATTTAGTACTGTTAACCAAAATATAAACTGAACAAGACCAAGAATCAAAAACAACAAATAAAACAATATTTACTTACAATATTTGTTATGGCTTCTAACTGTTTGTATTAAACTGGCTGTTGGGGCTGGTGAAGCTTTCAACATAGGATAAGGACCAGCAAAATATACACTATACTCCACTTTCAATTCAGAAAAAGGGGTCCCAGTGCAAAGTCCCACAATACATAACTTACACCAATAACTATTCCAAATGGAATATTCAAGAGAGAAAATCCCCAAATTATATCAATTTTTTACAAGAGTCTGTGTTATCCCAGTGAATGGACAAACTGATACAAGCTTCTATGTCATAGCTGGACAATTTTAATAAGCACACACAGAAAATCACATCAAATAAAAGAAACTGAAAGCTTACACATACCCTATTATAAAACCATACCGAAAATAGTACTTGTTAAAAAACCTATACCTCCAACTCAAGAGTGTATACAAAATTATCAATCAGAAGAGACTGTAGTCTTACTACATCTTATTTTGAACAATATCTTCAGTAACAGACTGAGTAAATGAACATCTACATTATAGGTAATAAAATTAACTTTTTCTTACTATTATTATGCAGAAAAGTTTGAATTATGAATAATAAATATACATTTTCCATTTTATCAGGAAGCAAAACAATCTAAAATCCATACATATTATTCTTACTCTTTAGCAAGGCATGTTGAGGATTGTAACAAAAGTTGTACAAATATTTCGTGTCAAGTAAGAGGAAGAAATAGCTATAGCATGTGGAGGTAACCAAGAAAAAGCACAAAAAGAGCATTAGATTTTATGAATGACAGGAAAAAAACAGTGCCATGAAATGTTTCTGCCAATGTTACAGACATGTAAGTGTGAACAAGACACTAGGTGGCTACATACTAATTCAGAGTTGATTAATATGTATCCAAATTACAGGGCTTTGGATCAGATTTCTGTACTAGATGTAACTTTCATAGCTTTGTAAATTTTTATTTTGTTACGTGCATTTGGGGTGGTCTTTTTTAGGTCTTCAATCTCAGCTTTTAAGTGAAGGTATAAAGCCATAAATAACCCTCCTACTAAAAGTATTAAACATTCATGCCAATAAATAAAGGTATACAATATTTTATAAGCATACATTTGGAAAACTTTTTAAAAACAATATATGAAGCCTTAAAAGTTGTTTGTTAGAAATGCTACTACCTTCTTGCTTGCAACATCAAAGCAAAGAGATGTTTTCATGCAATATGTGTAACAGCTGAAAAACAAGCCACAGCTTTTATATCTCATTATTTAGAAAAATGGCAAACAATAATTGAGAAAATGCCAATAAATTGTGTAGTAATAAATCTTGCAAAGAATCGTTATTGAAAATATTTAATTATCAATCTAATCAACTTTCTAAAAAGTGGTGAAACAAAATTAAGAAAATATTTTTATGTGGCTAAAGCAATCCTTGTAAACAATTAAATAAGATTTTACTTCACAATTCTATGTCCTAACAGCAAACAAACTATCCTAGAAATATCAAAAAGCGTTGTGTCAGTCAGATCTTCCTGATATTTGTAGGTAAATGTATTTACATTTGAGCAACTGTCTTTCAAACAGATAACAATGGAAAAAGAAGAAAAATAAATAAAAATACGATTTGATAATCTGATAGAAGATGCTTTATCAATCTTAAATTATACAGAGATAACTTAGAAAAACTCGTCCCTAAGTATTGGAATGCTTAATATAATCTACTAGTGTTGTCATAATGATGCACATTTCATAAAAGTTATCTACTTTATGATTTTTGAAACTTAATGAAACCGATTCTCATTAAAAACTTCAATTAACTGCAATATTAAATAATTATTTTATGTGTGAAGCTCGTAATTAAGCACTCTAGATTCTATTCCCAAGTATATGATCAAAAATAGGTGCATTTTAAAGAAACAACAATTCTAATCTATTTTCCTGGTTTAATACTAAAAGTAACTTCACCGAGTCAAAACTAAAAAACTCCTACTCCTCTTTTCCTTCATTCAATCTTAATCTCATCTAGATTTGAGGTCAGCCACTTAGGTATTTTGTATTAGCCAAGAATTTTTACACTCTGGTGGCTGGCCCTGACAGCAACCCTAAAGGGTGAGCAGATTGCGAGTTGCATGCCCTAACCACCAGGCCATGTCAGTTCCAAGCAAAACTCTTAATATTTCTGGGTTTTATTTTCTGATCAAGGCTGTTACTAGTGTAAGTAAGAAATTGTAGAGCATTTGTCTGAACAGTTAACTGCCAAGCAGCTCATCACAACATTCTGGTTAACAGTAAGCAACTATGACATAAACATCCTGAGAAGTCTATACTATAGCAGCACAGGAAATGATAATTCCAAATTTAATAATAAAACTACAACACCAACAACACTGACAAGCTTTTATATATGATGAATTTTTCTCTCAAATCTTTTATAGTGAATTAAGTCATTCCTTTGAAAAGATAAAACAATAATTTTTGAGACATGCTTCATACTTTTGTTAGGTATACAAGTATTCTTGTAATTCAAAGCTCTTAAAATTTTTTCATTATAGGCAACCATGTAAGTTATAAGTCGGCTGGCCAATGAGAACACAACATTGAAAATATCTTTTAAACTTGCCAAATGTTTAAAAAAACATTTTTCGTGCACTGGAGTAAAAACAAAAAAAATGCTATAATGCTGGAATTAATCTGAAAAATATTCACTTGTATTATTATATTATTAAATTTGCCTGAATAAATTTGCCAAAAATAAAATAAAAAGTTACAATGGGAGAAAAATGTTACTTAAAGTAGTTAATAACAAATATATAAACCTAAAAATTAACAGCTAATTATCAACATATTATTTATAAAGATGTAAAATATATGACAGATTCATCTCTTGATTTTTTTAGTATTCCTCTTTACTTGTGTTTATTTTCAATTTATAAAAGTTTTATAAACGTTCTTATAATATTAATTAAGCTTATTTTTTCTTTCTCATCTGGTTACAGTTTAACGAACCCCAATACTTCAAGTAGTTATTTCTAAGTAAGCTATATTAGCTATATTTTCTTTTATGCAAAAAAATTTACAAAGCAATCAACCAAATATTTTAGTTTGCACAAAAGTCACCATAACCTACCTCTGGAACTTTGTGAGTCTTTTCTTGATTGAATTCAGTTGCAATGTTTAAGCTCTGAAATGAAGGACTAGACATTACAGTTGTTGGAGTAAGATCTGCCACATGCAACACTGGGACTCTATCTGGATGTTCCTTTATCTGCTTCACAATGTTGTGTATTTGCTCTATAAACATTCCAGCATAATTTTCAGCAAGAAGGTCCGTCATAACCTAAAGCATTAAGTATAAATAGAATTACTACTGGATATCTTGGACATGCAAGGCACACTTTCTGTGGTTGTTCCATCATAACAGCACCTTTAGAGCTGAATGTAAAAGTTAACCAATCTTTTATGTCCTCATCCACCAAAAATATGTATATTAGTAACTTCAAAATAATATTATACTAGACAACTAAAATACATTCATTCTCTGCATCAGATAAACTCTGTCCTAATTCTGTAAATATTACATACCAAGTTACTTGCTATTCCCTCTGGAACAACATCTACGATGTCAAATTTGAACTTCACATTCTTCCCCTTTGTGGACTCTAACTGACACTCAACAACACTACCTTCCTCAACACTTAACACTGTCAATCTAGGGCTCTGATCTTGAGTTCTGTGGCGTCTTATGATTTTCTTGCGTGTTGGTTGTCTTCCATCTGCAATTTCTAACTCTTCACTAACTGGTTCAGTTCTGTAAAGAATAAGGTAATACTGGAAACAAAATAAATACATCAAGCATTTAGAATCTATAACAAACTATAACTATTCTAATTAAAATATGCTTGAATAAAAACATGATGTTTCAAAAAAGTAAAACTTTTGGACAGTTAACAAAACACAACAGCAACAATACACTTTATTCATTTAACCAATAATAAATTTTGAATTCAATTAGCACCAAAGACAGGAGAAGTATACACAAACCATGAAATTTTAACAACTTGGAAAAAACCCACTTTTGAAACAACAATATATGAATAATTCAAAGATGTATAGAGTAGACTCACATACCATACATTAAATAACCTATTTGTTCAATTCTAAATAAGTGAATGTGTGTCAAATATGTAAACTTGAATACGTATAACACAATAATTTATATCTGATTCTGTATAAAATTAAATGTTATTTTCTACATACATTTGTTCAGGTGGTGGTTTAAAAATCTGAGCTTCCTGTCCTTGGGCTTCTCTCCAATCCTATTGCATGAAAGAGAAAGGGAAAAATGAAAATAACAAGCAAAATTAATTTTAAAGCACAAACATTAACTAATTAATGATGATAGCTTGATAGATACCTAGTTTAGTGGTGATTGTAAAATACATTATTTTCATTAAAAAAAGTGTACTCTTAACATTTAAACTTAAGCTGTTATTAAGTTTTTCATTTAATATTCTAAGACAATAAAATGAGTTGTTCAAAGCCTTTAATTTTCTAATCTGTACATTAACAAAATCCTCAACTAAAGTGGAGAGAGATGTGGCATTGGGCTTTTTCTTGAGGGAGTTATGGATATGTTAAATCACTAAATAATAACTCTTAAACTAAACAGTCTTGTATATCCAACAAAGTTGAGAAAGAGAGTTTGCCAAAACGTTCATCCCACCAGAACATAACAGGATCAAAGATGAACAAGTTGAAAATGAAGCTAAAGAAGAAGAAAAACTGCAGCAAATCAAAAGCTGCAAAAATCAGTACTGCCATAATTGTAAAAATATGCCATCACTGTACAAATTCTGTATGAATTAACACAAAATAATGGTGAAGAAACTGGAGACAAGTTATAGCACATTGAGGTGAACTGTTCCTTCTTGAAGAGTCCAAGAACCATAAGACATCAATTTCTCCATACAGCAACATAACCCAAGAGAAAGGTACCTGTAAAGAATGAATCTCTATAGGATGACAAAGAAAAGGAGTTCTTGCTGTTGTAAACTCTCAATTAAACCAAAATTTGAGAAACACAAGAGTGGTAGAAGAAACAGGCATGTTGCATGAAACTATGTCTGAATTCAGACTTCAATGAAAAGTAAGGTACCATTGGAGATGTCACACCTGAGCATGCCCCAAGGGAATGACTTTATGAACTGCAGCTATCATAAGTATTATTCATATTGAAAATAGATACAAAGGGAGCAATGAGACCATGAATGCTATAACAAGATCTTTATTCTCCCAATGTTTCGACTTCAGTTTTAGTTCAGGAGTGTTACACCGTAGTGCCTTATAAGAATAGATATAAACATTTTTGGGCTGCTCTCTGATTGGTTCATTATGGTTGTCTATCGACCAACATCCTACCAATCAGCATCCTGCTCTCATCTCACTAGGCCCACTGCTCTTTCTGCCCACTTGTAGTCTCCCGCTGTGGTGTTTATGTTCTTTTCTAATAAGATGTAACAGCTTCTATAGCTTTCCATCCTTGCTTTTCCATCCCTCTGTTGACAATTTTAGTTTCCTTCTATTTAGGCAAGTGTCCTACTTCCTCTGTATGTGCTACTATTGCAGTGTTTGTATTGTGTCTTGTGACATCTGCTTTATGCTCATTTACTCTGGTTGCCAGGTCTCTGCCAGTTTCACCTTTATAAACTTTACTGCATCCACCACCTGGAATGCTGTATACTACACTGCCATCTGTTGTATGTTTCTGTCTCCTGTCCTTTACCATCTTTCCTACTCTTATTTCTGTTTTCATTACCACCTCTGTGGTTGTGTGTCTCATTAGTCTGTTGATGCCATTTGCATTCTGGGCATTGGGGACCACTATGAACTTCTTGTTTCTCGCATCCTGTCTGCTGTTGTTGCTGCTTTCCATGATGTTCCACGCCTTCTCCTTTAGCCTTATAAGCATGCCTGTAGGATATTGCAGCTTCCTGAAAGCTTCAATTATGTGTTAGTTTTCTTGATCTAAAAATTCTGGGCTGCATATCCATAACTCCCTCAAGAAAAAGCCCAATGCCACATCTCTCTTCACTTTATTGTTATGTGCTGAGAAGAAGTGTATGAAATCATCTCTGTTGGTTTGTTTTCTATACATGGCGAACCTAGAGGAAGCAGGACACTTGCCTAAATAGAAGGAAACTAAAATTGTCAACAAAGGGATGGAAAAGCAAGAACGGAAAGCTATAGAAGCTGTTACATCTTATTAGAAAAGAACATAAACACCACAGTGGGAGACTACAAGTGGGCAGAAAGAGCAGTGGGCCTAGTGAGATGAGAGCAGGATGCTGATTGGTAGGATGTTGGTCGATAGTCGACAATAATGAAGCAATCAGGAAATGGCACATCATGGGGACCAGGAACCTAATCCAGGAAAATTTGTATATATACCTTTGTAAGGCACTACATTACCTCTGCTGCCCATGGTCTTCAAACCCACCTGTCACCTGCAAACCCCCCAAAAGCAAAGCCAGTCTCCACACAGTATTTCTCAGAAACATTCACCGATTCTTTACTACAGAAG